CTTTCTAACTACTGCGCACCATGGAAGGAAAGAAGGGAGGGACTTATATACTGCTTCACAGCGTTTTACAGCCCTACCCAAGCAGTTTTACAGAGTCAGACTCTTGCCCCCAACAATCTGGGTCCTCATTTTACCCACCTTGGGAGGATGGAAGGCTGAGTCAACCCTGAGCTGGTGAGATTTGAACCGCTGACCTGCTGATCTAGCAGTAGCCTGCAGTGCTGCATTTAACCACTGCGCCACCTTGGCTCTCTTGAAGGTTATCTAGGCATCAGGGGTGGGTTTCAACCAGTTCGCGGTGGTCCCTGCGAACCGGTTGGTCGGCGAACCCAAAAGTAAGTAACTTCCGGGAACGGCGAAGGGCCCACCCACGCGCCCGTGCTCCTTACCCAGTTTTGATGAGTTCTGTGCTTCCACGCATGCGCAGGACACATACAGCGCCTGCGCAATCCTCCAGGAGCAGCTAGAGCATCGCACAGACGCTAGTACGCATGCGTGCGCCCCGCACGCCGCACGCGTGCGTGAGGACGCCGCCGGCCCCGTTCCAACCGAACCAGTTGGAACGGGGCGAGAAACCCACCCCTGCTAGGCATGATTTTGCCCCAAACTACTGCACATTCTTGACATCTCCCCTGCCCTCATTCCCTGTTGTGCAGGGAATTCATAATACTTCTGCCATATATCACTTTCCCCAAAAATTTCCTTTTACCTCAATGGTTCACACGTAAACTGCCTGAAGGAGATGCTTCTCTTAAGACACAATAGAGTCAAAACCTTTCCTTCCTATCATTTCATACAACAAGATGGTTTTGGGGTGGATGGTGGGTGAGAAGGAGGGGTGTCTTTTTACCTTAATCCAAAAAAAGAAGTAATATATCAGGGCTAGAAAAAGGAGCATTGCCCCTATCCCTCTGATTAATAGTTAGAATGGTTAGAATGAACTAGGTCTGAAAAATTCAAGCAGGGAAAGTTTGTTGCAGGGATCTGTTTATCTCTGATAAATATGCAACAAGTTTAAGTTAGATATATTGTGTAAGATTATTTGGGAATATATATAGCTATTTAAGCTTTATATTCTTTGATGTCTCTTTTCTTCATGTTAAGCTGCACGAATGGGTGTCTTAGGTAGGAAAGCAATATCATCTTATGCTCTGTCCAAACCCTTAATATTTTGTGTGTTTTCCCCACTGAGGTACTGTATTTCTCTTTTTTTTTGGGGGGGGGGGAATTTCTGTCTTCCATTTTTTTGTCAATTTCCACAGCCATTTCTCCCTCCTTCACCAGAGATGTGTTTATGTACTGTACTTACTTAGAATTAAAAAGGATTTTTAATTTTTTTTTCCTCTTTTCCTTTCCTTTAAAAAATAAATAAAAATACAGTAATTCTTTTTTTAAAAAAAAATCTTTTAAAAATTACAGTTAACTTTCTGCATATTTTGTGAGACTGGTCTCCTTTCCAAAGGAAGTGGGGCTGAA